TGTCAAAATCCAATCTAAAATTAACTTTAAAAAAGACAATGGTTTTATAGAGTTGCCTTTTGAACTTTCTGTAGATTCTAAAATATTTGAGTGATTAGATTCCAATTCAGTTAATATTCCTTTATATAAAGACTCAAATACTTTATATGATGTTTCAACATATCTAATCCATGGTAAACCTATAACCGCTGGCAAAGACAATGTAATTTTGTTAGATATGGTAAACAAAGTATTTTGTCCTAATTCTATATTTGTTTTTCCAATATCTGTTTAATAGATATTTAATAGACTATTATTATATATTAATACAAAAAGATCATTTAAAATTGAATGACTCAGCCACTATTTTTGATTAGCTTATTCTAGCAAAGAAGATTAAGCTTACTGTTTTCCTTTTACTTTGCTATGTGCTAGTATTCCAAATAATTCTGGAATACTAAATTTAGTTTTCAAGCCTCATCAAGAATGGGGTAATGCTGTTCATGATTTTAAAAAACATGAAAAAAGTTGTGTTTTACAATGTATTACGTTCATGTTGCAACCCCAAAAGTAATGTTATTAAGGTTGATTTAAAAAATACTTGTTTCAAACTTTTTTCTTGTAACTGAAAAAAATTTGTTTCAATAATTAAAACAATAATACTTGTAGGTTGGAAGAGGTAACTTCATACAGCTTTTAAAAACTTGTGTTGATGCTGGTGATCAAATATTAGCTAATCATCTTTTTTTAAGTCCAAAAAATGCAACCTTTATTTCAAAAACTACCAAAAATCAATTTATTGATACTTGTGGGAAAACAATTGAGGTGGCTTTAATAAAAAAGCATTCCAAATTTTTTTTAATTCTTTGTGATCAAGCAGTTGACTGTTCAAATACTGAACAAATGTCACTTTTTTTCAGATATGTAAATTCAAATAATGAGATTTGCGAGGATTTCCTAACATTTATTGATTGCAAGACTCATACATCTGGTCTTAGTCTATCTCTAAATTTACTTTCCATCTCCAAGTTTACTAAAATTACTACTAAAATTACTTAATACACTTCAAGAGACTTTTTGGACTTGATATTCAAAATTGTAGAGGCCAAGGGTATAATGGTATAAGATTTAAGGGAAGTAAATATAAAGGAGTTGCTTCTTGAATAAAAGCTCTTAATCATAATGCTTTTTTTGTTCATTGTACAAGCCATAGACTTAGTTTAGTTGTAGTAGCTATTGCTTTTAGTTTGGCTTTTGGTTTTAGTCTTGATATCCGAGAAGTGAAACCTAGATTGTGTACTTTTCAGGTTTACCAGTATAACTATCCAACAAATACAGTTTGTGACTATTTTAAACATAGCATTACTTTTCCATTAATTGGACATCGTATTAATGAGCTAGATAATAGGTTCCCAGAAAATAGTATGTTTGATTATAAAGGTCTAGCAGCAGTTCCTTCAAATGTGCTCCAGAATACAAGTTAAGAAACCATAGAAATCTGATTTTTATGAATTTTTAAATTTCTATTTATCTGAATATGCCTCATTTTATTTCAATACATGCTGAGTTAGATTCATGGGAATTATTTTTGAAAAACCAGTCAAGTATTCCTTTAACTGTTGCTAGTATTTTAAAGGCCATTTACATGAGAAGTTTTCAAATATAAGAAAAGCGTTTATTGTTTTTATATATTTAGAATAATTCCAATAACAACTTGTGAATGTGAAATAATATATATATATATATATATATATATATATATATATATATATATATATATATATATATATATATATATATATATATATATATATATATATATATATATATATATATATATATATATATATATATATATATATATATATATATATATATAGAGAGAGAGAGAGAGAGAGAGAGAGAGAGAAAGGAAGTGGAGAGAGACTGTTGAACTTCAATAAAAAAGTATAACAAAAATTATTAAATTAAAAAAAAAAAATTCCTATCAAGAAAAGAAAAGAATCCAAAAATGGAGGGCTAACCTTAAGCAACATTACTTCACATTTAGTGCCTCTCAAGAAAAGGAAAAAATCTAGAAATGGAGAGCTAACCTTAGGCAAAATGATAGTACACAGATGAAGTGCAAAGCCCTATGGCTTACCTTCTCGTTGGTGCACTTTGTTAAGTAAATTAGACTTAAAATTACATGTCTAAGTTATGAACGAGGCAACATTTGTGAAAACTTCTATAAAAATAGATACTAAAAAAGCAATACAAAACAAATTTAGTTATTATTTAATAATATAAAGAGCGGTGTCACTTCTAAAAATTAAGCCGTCCGGGGCATGTCTGCGCCACCCTTGCAATGCCTTTTTTCTGTCCCTCTACTTTTGAAATTGACTATACTTAAACCCTAGGGTGGTTGGGGGGTGAAGGTTCTATAAAAAAAATTTTGCATCACCCTTTTAAAATGCTAGATCCGCCCCTGATTTATAATATACTCATTTTATTAAATATAATGTTCTATATAACACAATTGGGGGGTGAGCAATAAACATTTTCAAAAAAATTGTTTTTAAGAACCATCCTAGTTAACATATTTTAAAAGACAATACTTGATCTTAACACTTACCTTAACTCCTTATTTAACAAACTAAAACAATTTATAAACAAAAATGAAAGTTAACCTTTGCTGGTCTGTTAGCTTTTGATTTAGAATAACAATTTGATTTTGCAACTCCTTTTTTTCACTTGCTATTTTCTTCAACTCAATTTGATGACTATTTTGTTGTATTGTTAATTCTTTTGAGGACTTGTTGATAGTTGATTGCAGATTCTGCAAAATAACTTTTTCATTAACTACTAACTATTCTTAATATATATTATAATAAAAAACTTTTTTTTTAATATTTATTAAATAAGGTCTTTTTTCTAATTATACAACAAATTAAAAATCTTGTATATTGTTTAAACATAACCAACCAATAAAAATCAGCTTTTTAAACTAGATTTTATGATATATTGTTTTCTAATTTTTGATCATCAAATTCAATTTGTATATATGTATAATACAAGGATTATCCCGGTCATATTTTCAAAATCCAGAAATTTTTTTTTTTAAAATATCCATAAAACATTTTAAAGAAATATCCGGAAAAATCCAGAAAAATTCATTTTGTGTAACTAAGAATATCTCGTGTGTTTGAAAAGAAATTATTTGTACACACAAGTTGTTATATTATTTAATGTGTTATTATAAATTAATTATAAAACATAATAATTAATTATAAAACATAATCTTAACATTATTTGCACACAAAATAATTTAAACAAAAAGGAAAAAAAAAAAAGTATGAATATTAAAATATAGATAATAAAGTTTAATTTTTAAAGTTTGAATACTTTAATTTTTCAAATTAGTAAAATAATGACATAGTATTTACTGTGATAAATATTGTTAGGAAAGATATGAGATAAAGAAATTCATTATTTGTTTGCACAATTTATTATATTATTTAATGTGTTATTATAAATTAATTATTTAATATAAAACATAGTATTTACATTATGTACATAAAATTAACATTATTTGCACAAAAAAATGTTTAAATATTTTAATTTTTCAAATTAGTAAAATAGCAGCTTAGTGTTTACAGTGGTAAAGAGGCATGGCTGGAGTTTGAGTTCAAGATCTCCATAGAGAAGTTACTTTTTGAAACCCTCTATAGAGAAGTTGTTTTTTTATTGCTTTTTTTTTCAAGTTTTATTTTGAATGTTTTATGTTTTTTAACTACTATTGTTGTATATCTTTTTTTTTTTTTTTTTCAAGTTTCATTGAATATGTGCATCATTACGTATTTAAATTGACTGTTAAAACTGTAACCACAGCGGAGTGTACATACATTGACTGACTTAAATGGGGATAGGCACAGCGGAGTGTACATACATCGACTAAGTGTTTAGGTTTTGGTAGGAAAAAAAATTATTTTGAACGATATCTTTACTGTCTTATTGAATGACATAAAAATATTTTAAACTATTTCGAGAAATCTATTTGAATATCCAGAAAATATAAAATTTTAAAGAAATATCCCGAATTCTGGAAATATCCAGAAAAAGATAATATCTGATAATAGTAAAGTATAATCTTGAGAAGAATTAGATTTATCAATTATCTGCTGACTCATTTTCTGTTCATGAAATAAACTAGATACAAATTAAAAACTATAGATATTTTTTTTATTTTAGTTATAGCATCTGATGATTGCTTGAAACATTAAGTTATGATATTATTCCAAAATATTATGCTATAATATTTGCTCTACCAATTATGACACGCTGCATTGAGCACTCTTACTGGAAATATTAGCATAGTTTCTAGAATATATATATATATATATATATATATATATATATATATATATATATATATATAACAATCATTTTAAAGCTGGATTAAAAATTTAATATTCTTTAAAATAGTTACCATAGCTACATTTTTCTAAGACTAAGTAATCACCATGAATTATAAATAAATTATATAGTGAGGTGTGAAGTAATTTATGATAGAAATTAGGAAACAGGATAAATGGGTAAGATTAAATAGGAAAACCTATACTGTTATAATAATGGTATAGTAAAGGTTTTTCCATTTCAATATAAATGGTTTTTAATTATAGACAAAAAATCTTCATACTTTCTAATATTAGGACATTGTAAACATTATGTAATGATAACACAATGTTGACAATATACAAAATGTTGATATAATAAAAATGTAGTACACAATGTTGACATAATAAAAATGCAGTACACTATGTTGACATAATAAAAATGTAGTACACAATGTTGACATAATAAAAATGTAGTACACAATGTTGACATAATAAAAATGTAGTACACAAATCGCAAACACATTAGTGTATTCAAATAATTTTATAAACTTTTAAAACAAGAATTTACCTCAATAAGTTTTTGAGCATCTTTTTTTTCATTATTAAAGTTTTCTTGTATAGAGCTGACCTTTAAATTAAGATCTTGTAGAAAATGAGCTGATTCATCAATTTTCTGCTGACTCATTTTCCGCTCATTAATTAACTCTTTGTTAATATTATTAAGTATATCATTCCTTCTCATAATATCACCATGTTCTTTGCATCCTATCTCTACTTGTACTCCAATATCAGCAAAAGAACCAACTCTGAAATCTCTTAATAACTTTTCAAAGTTTTTATCAATCTCTATGTGGTATTCTGAGTTTTCATCAAGTTCTGATAAATTTTTAGTAGCTTTTGAAGTTTCTCGATCACGAAAAGTAAACATTCCTTGTGCTAGCCCTGAGATAATATCTTTACTTAATCTCTCATAACAATAGTCTGAAAGATATTTTGTTGTACATGCAGTGATGATGCGCTCAATTTCATTTTTTAGGTTTCCTTTTAACATTAGGTCAAAAAAGTTTTCATTTTCTGCTTCATTCAACAACTTATCTTTTTTCGATTTAACAAGAAAATTATCTGCCGGAAATGAACTCAGATCAGCATCACATGTATAATGTAAAGGCTGTTCCTTTTTGCATATACCAGAAATTTTTTTTCTGTTTTTATTAATCACAGTTGCATTTAATTCATTTTGAGTAGAGTTTATTGAATGAAGTTGAACAAAGTCATTTTCAACATCATTTTCATTTGATAAAATTAGAGGTTCAACGGAACTTTGTTTTCCTCTGCGCTTTGCATCTTTTAATAACAACATTTGAAAAAGCTCTATACTTTCAGTTTTGCCCATCTGAACTATACTAGATCTTTTGGATGGATCTAAAGACATTAACAACTTTAATTCTAAATCATTTAAACTGTTTTCTTCAATATTATACTTAGACTCAACAAAAGATGTATCAAATGATGTGTTAACTGAGTCAAAGATGACTTCCTCAATCAAATCAGGAAGATCTTGATCACAATTTAAATCTAAATCACAATCTAAATCACAATCTCTGTTAGACCAATCTTTTGATAGAGGAGTTATATTAGTGACTTGATTCGGGGTTATAAGAGAAATCTTGCACTGGTTTTCGTATATTTCAAATTCATTTTCTACTTTTCTAAATTTTTCATCTGTATGATTAGCTATAATGGAAGATTCTAAAGAATTTGATTCTATTAAAAAAAGAGTATCATTTTCTAAATAATCAAAACCTTCTGATTCTGAAGACTTGCTGGAGCGTGGCTGAGTAAATTGAGGATAAAATTCTATGGCATATGGATTCATTGTACCGGGAGAAGTTGAACAATTATTTGAAAAAGATTCTTCACTAATAACTGTAGATGTTGAACTACTTTTTTGAATATGGTCTTTCCAAACTTGAAATGTTACTTCTTCGCTTGATAGATATACAATATTTCTATTTTTTTTATCAAATGAAAATTTGTTACACTTCCAAAGAAATGTTCGTAAACCTCCAACTTCTTCAATCAAGAGTTTAGAATTCTCATCTAAGCTATTAATAAATTCAATCACATGTTGGCTGTTGTGGACATCAAGTAAAACTTTCTTTTCTAAAAGCTGTTCGAATTTTCTAAAAAATAAATTGTAATAAACAAATTAAATTTTAACTTTTATACCATGCAAAATAATAATTATATATAATAATAATAATAATAAAAATAATAATAATATAAAAATACAAATTTTAATCATTGTAATATGTGTTGGGTGTGACAATAATAAGCATTTAAAATTTACATTGTCAAACCCATGCCTCTTTGAATAAAAGCATGCTTTTAATAAAGTGTAAATTTAATTGAATACTAATGCTAATGAATTCTGAAAAAAAAAACTATACAAAAAATTTTTCTATATCAGTATTTAATCTAAACACAATTTGATACATCATATATAATAAAATATATACCATCAATCAATTCAACAATTTGAAATAATTGGTTAGATAATAAGCCAGGAACCAAAAATAAAAAAAAATCCATATCAGTTTATGTTAAAAAACATTACGCCATTGTTTTTGGTAGAGAGATAATTTAAAAAATGTTTTTTTTTTGAAAAAAGGGACAATATGTTATTCATAAAATTCTCATGTATAAAAAAGCTACCATTTTGAAATCTACCATAACAGCTATCCATACCAGGTATGCACTACAAGTATCCCCACCACAGGATTCACTACAGGTATCCTCACCACAGGATTCACTACAGGCATCCCCACTACAGGTATCTGCTACAGGTATCCATACCACGTACCAGGTGTGCCCGCACAAAAATTCAAAATGGTAGCTTTTTTTATACATGAGAATTTTATGAAGAACATTTTTTCTTAGTTTTTTTAGTTACCAATCAACAACAACGCCATAATGACACATAACTACCAACAACATGCTATAATGACAAATTACACATAAATAAAAATTACACAAAATAAAAACAACATTTTTTCATGTACTTCTAAGGTCAGGTCAGTATTGGAATCATTTTACAGCTGTAAAATATCAGAGTAAAAATGTAACAGATTTACATCTATTCTAGCCTATTAGATGAAATAAGGGGTGCGAGGTTGGTCAACGTATAACTTGTCATTATGATATAATGCTTTTTAACAAAAGCTGACAAAAAATTTTCAATTTTTTGAAACTTCATGCTTTACCTAAAATCTTTACCTGTGCTCAGTTTCTCCTTGTTTTTATTTAGGTGGTTTAGGTCATGCTATGATTTCACTAAAACTTTTATTGCATACCTCTATTACATCAGATTCACCCTATCATCACACCCTACACCCTATTATTGTACTTCTTATTACTGTCTTAACAGAAAGGTCAGGAAAAGTTTTTGTCAGAAAAGAGATTGCACTATTTCTGACCACGCATATAACAATTTGTTTCAACAACTTGGTGCTATATTTTTTTAAATTCTGATTCACTCTCAACAAGACTGCAAGCAACCACAATTAAGTTGGGAGTTACTAGGAAAAAAAAGAGTAGAGTTATAGAGCAAGGAAACGGTTGACAGAAGACTTGAAGCATGAAGTGACAAATACAATAAAGTCAAGCAAAAATAAGTTTTTATTAATAGAATTAGAGATGATACCTCGTTTAAGCAGCGAACATTATAGTTTTTGTTGAAAAGTAAAAGAGATGCCATCTTACAACCATAGGAAAGTAGTTTAGACCTGGCAGATAAAGCACTATTAAAAACTATGTTTATTAAGCGCTTTTTTACCTTGTCTAGAAGAAAAATCAACCCAAATATGATAACAGTATTCCATACAGGAACGAATAAGAGATTTGTAAAGGAATGGAATCAGGAGTAAGATAATGGCGAGTACGATAAAAACCTTGGTCAACCTTAACTTTGCAATCTATTGTTGATTGTATATGACATAATGATTGGGATATATATATATATATATATATATATATATATATATATATATATATATATATATATATATATATATATATATATATATATATATATATATATATATATATATATATATATATGGTTGTAATTATTGTATATATATACATTAGAGGTCACTATTATGAAGTAGTTAATAACTTTGCACCTAAGCAGGTGCAAATTTATTAACTACTTCAATTATTGCAATCAATTGTATTTCATGGTTTCCATGAAAGGTCAGTAGTGAACGAATATCAAAGAAGACATAAAGAAAAGAATTGAGAAACCATTGAAGAAACATTGTTTCTCACTATTTTTATAAAATTAATTTTAAAAATAATTTTCAAAGATTTAAATATATTATGAGTAAACTATTTAAGTAATTAAAAAAATTATATAATATTCTATGATAATTTAAATAAAATTTAATGTATTATGAACAATCATTAATAGTAACTTGTTACTTTATTTAAAAGTGGTTTAGCATCTCTTATTTATGGGATCTTATTACCTCTCTCAAGGAAAAAAGTAGAATTTTTTTTAAAGAACTTTTTCAGAAGTTTATCTCTTAAATCATACAAACATTCTTCCTGTCATCCTTAACAAATATTTTGTTAATAACACAATATTTCATCCTTGGTCCTGTGTTGTTTTTATATTAATAATTTTCCCAATAATCTCAACTATAAAAGGGCTTTTGCTTATGACACAACTATATACTCCAGCCTCGATAAAAAAGTATAAACTTTTGATAGCTTAAAGCAGGCAGTTGATCTTGAATCTCTCTTTAATGAGTTTGAGATTGTTAAATTTTGTTTAAAATAAATATCGCAGTATTGTTGATATTACTACATTAATGAATTACATTCTAAACAAGTCCTCTGCTTAATGTCTATATATATACAATTTGCAAAATTAACATCTGCTTAGGTTGCTTCTCTTTATTGTGATTTCTCTATCTCTATAAATCACTTATTTGTCCCCATAGTTTTTTAGATGACAAGCTTAAACCTCTCTCCAATAGTTATGTTGCATCTCTATCTCTTTCTATAGTTATGTTGCATCTCTATCTCTTTCTATAGTTATGTTGCATCTCTATCTCTTTCTATAAATACTACCATGATCATCACCATGATCACTGCTCAAGCTTGCCTAACTCATTATGCAGCAAAATTTACACCTTTTATTCATTTAGTTTTGTTCCACAAACTTTGATGCTTTAGAATTTCTTGCCTTCATTTTTTTCTAACTGATACTTCAAGTCTTTTGTCAACCGCTTTCTCAGTCATTTTACTTTCACCTAATTTGCGGTTGTTTTATGCTGGTTCATCACCAAAAAAAGTAAATAAAACAAAAAAAATAAAAAAATAAAAATTATCATATTTACTAGAAAATTTTATTTTATTTTTTACTTTTGTTTTTAGTTTTTGTCTTTAGCAACACCTTAGCAACACCTTAGTTATGATCAAGTTTTTCCTATAACAATGAGAATAATGATGAACTCTTAAAGTTATTTTTCAATGACTTTCTCTGTTCTCCAGAATGCAGCTCAAATGATGTTATTTTGGTTGACTACCTTTCAACTAGAATAGAATACAAAGTTTTTTAATAATAGTTTATTTTTAAAATTATTTTTATGGCACTTTGATTTTTTCTTCACTTCAAACATCGTAACTTGGCCAAAAATTCATGAATTTGCTTGAAAATTTCAGAAAATGTTTCTAATGGTATTCTCTAGAGGATAAACAATTTTTTATCTTGTACATTTATATGACTGTTTTTTACTTTTGTTTTTAGTTTTTGTCTTTAGCAACACCTTAGCAACACCTTAGTTACGATTTCTCTAGAGGATAAGCAAGCAGTTTTTTATCTTGTACATTTAAATGATTGTTATAGTTAAATGCAAAAAAAAAATTGAAAAAAGAACATCCTTTAACATAATGTTGACAAAAATTAATCAAAAACTAGTTTAGCTTTATTAATTTAATTTTTTTGTTGTTGCTCATTATTTTGTAAAGTATGTACAGTAGAATCTCGTTAACTCAGACTCTAAATGGGTATATATATTTTATCTGACTTACCAGGGTCCGAGTTACCAGGATTCTACTGTATAAAGAAAATTTGATAAATTTTTTTTTTAATTTATTTTTCATTTAGCTTTCTTAAATTTTTAAGTTTGCTAGGATTTTTCATTAAAATGTACTCATTTTGCTGAATTTGTCAAAATATTTGAACAAAATTTTTTTATGTAAATAATAGTTTGTTTACAAATAAAATCAATAAAGTTTATTTTTTCAAAAAAGTTTTTTTTTGGTGATGAACCACCTTAAAGTTTACCTAAGAGGTTACTTGCAGCCTTGTTAGAAATGAAATTTAAAAAAGTATTCTAATAACTTTATTTTACTATTAAACAAGTATTATACCTTGTAACTATATTATCCCATATAACTATATTATCCCTAATAACTATAGTATGCCTAGTAACTATATTATCCCTAGTAACTATATTATCCCTAATAACGATATTATCTCTAGTATATCAAGTAACTTTTACTTAGTACTTTCTTAGTAACTTTTATTATTATCCCATTAAACAAAGATTTCTTAGAAAATGTAAACAAAGAAACAAAATGGAAACTAAAACTTTATTTAACAGCATATTATGGCTAAGTTATTTGTTTTACAAATTTTGCTTCTGCTTTATAAACTTTGTTACTGCTTTATAAAATGCTGACTTTAATTAACAACTTATACATAAAAATTATTTTAAAAAAACTACTTTTTTCCTTATTTAATATAATTTTAACTATTTACTTTTATTATAACAATTCAACAAGGAGTTAAATAACCTAAATTAACTAATAACCTAGTTTAACTAATAATTATTAACCTGATTTTGGTATTATTTTTGGTAATTATTATTTTTGGTAATTATTGTTTTTTGGTATTATTTTGATATTGGTATCATGCTTAATAAAGTTTTACATTGAACAAAAGCCTAAAGATTACAGTAATTCCTTTTTATCTTTCAAGCTAAACATGTATGTTTAAAACAAATATTAAACAATATTACATCTTTAAACTTTTTTTTAAATTGGTTATTTCCTTTTAATAAAAAAGTAACTTACTGGTATATATCTACTGCAGTTGCTAATGGCTCATACACAAACCCATTATATTCAGAGAAATCATCAGAAATGCAATCGCTGTCAACAATAGAGTTACTGCTATTCACATTTGTTTGCAATAAAACCGTTGACTGATCTTTCACTCTAAAATAAAAATAAAATAAGACCATTGGCATCTTTGCTAATGGTCCTATTTTACATTGGCATTCGTTTGCATCTAAAATGCGATATTTTATTGATTTAAAAAATTTTTTTTATTTGAAAAAATTTATTTTTTAGAGGTTGTCTAAAATATTAAAAAAAAAAAATCAATCAATATTTTAAATAAAAATCAATTCATACGAATTTACAGAAGCAGTTCTAATTTTAAGATCCTGATAGGGGATTTCCAAAATAGCCTAAAAAATTAAAGATGAAAAAAAGTTATCAGAAAACATTTATAAAAAAAAATTCTTACTATCCAACATTCTGATTATTTTTAATAACTTAAGAATTAAAATGAAAAATTGAAAATTAAAAAAATTAAATACAAATCACAAAAAACTAATTAACTGGTATTTAAATTTTTTTAAAAAAGTAATAGAAAATAATTTTTTTTTTCATGTGTTGTTTTGTATTTGATTCAAGTTGATTCTTAGATCAATCAGTGATCTGCGAGAATCAATCAGTGATCTGTGAGAATGTGTCAGACCAGGCCTAAGATTTTTACTAAAATTTTTATTTAATAAAAAACTTTTCATAATAAAAATAATTTTTAATAAAATTTTTAACATTAGTAAAAATTTAAATAAAAAAAAAAAGTTAGTTAATCTATTGTGCACTAACAGTTGGTTAATCTATTGTTATTAAAATTTGAACACATTTGTTATAGGAATACTATGCAAAGAACAAATAACATTACAAGCTAACTAATAAAAATAATACAAAATATTCCCTAATAAAATACAATACAAAACACAATCTCCCATGACAACAACAAAAAAACTTTAACCTTTGGTTTTATGTTTTTTTTGGCTGGCTTACTCTTTTTTGATTTAATCTAAAAAAACAAGTTTTTTACAATTCACAAAAAAAAAAAAAAAAAAACAACCCAAATAAAAAATAATTTTTACTAAAAAAAGTGCTTTTTCAACTTAAATCTAGAACTACCTGGAATAAACTATCTTCATTTTTGTTCATTAAAATAATGACCTCAGCATCTTAGAAAATAGTAAAAATATTTTATAGAAAAAAAAAAGCTCATTTAAAAAAAAAATTGTTAAATTTATGAATAGAAAATTAATAAAAACACTTCACACCTTCATTGTTTATTGGAGTTACTGGAGAATTGGTGTTTATAGTTGTGTTATTCTAAAAAAATTTTAATTTCAAAATTTAACTTAAAAAAATATATCTTATTTATTTATTTTACAATAGCCAGAGCCAGAATTGTCTTCTGTGGGGGGGGGGGGGGGGGGAAGAACAACTAACTATTGTTCATTTTTTCTGACAAAATGAACAATGGTTGGTTGCCCCCCACTAATAGGCTTTGAGAAATGGTCTGGGGCTGCCAATGTCTGACATCTAATTTGACCCCTACAAATGTATATACATGTATATATATACATACTTAAAAAAAATCAATATACCAAATGCAATAAAAAAAAAACCACATACTTTTACTTCTTTTTGAAGTACATTAGAATTTGAATGTTCTAAAAAAAAAAACACAACAGAAATGCCTTGGGTTACCCTCTACATATGTTTATATAAAGCAACACTGGATTTAAAAAACTTTAAACATGAATATTTTTAAGGTACATCAAGACTATTGAACATTTAATGGCTATCAAAATTTTATTAAAAAAAAGTTCTTTGAAAATCATTTGACCTGGATCTCAAATGAAGCAAAATTATATAAAAATTTAAAAGACAATTATTTCATAAAAACAATAGAAATTATCAAGAAAACTTGTAATAATGCCCTTTTTAATTTTTAGTTATAAAAAATGAAAATAGATTTTATGCAATAAAAGTTCTAATAATAGCTTTCATGCAGTAAAATTTAGTATTTCTAAAGATTTTATGCAATTTTTTTTCTTTTCTTTGAATCATTTTAATGTTTAAGTGTCTTAAAGGACTCTTAAAAAAAATTTATAAACCAAAAACTTGTTAGTTATAGTGTTATTACATTATATAAAACACATAAAGTGCACTTTTTTGAACCACCCTAATAAATAAATACTTAAAACTCTTTTTAATAACAAACAGATATTACTAGTGCCTCATTATGCGCAACTATGGTGTCACAATGCAATCATGTGTAACTAAGGTGTCACAATGTAGTTAGGCATAATTAATGTGTTACAATATATTAAAAAGGAGTCAAATTGTGTTAAAAAAAATTATGACTTGTTACTAATGGGTAAGTATGTGTTTGCATAAAACAATCCAATACTACTACTAATTAATCAGTAACAGAGGGTATCAATTTTCGAGATTTTTTTGATCCCAGGAAGTGGGAAATTTAAAGATAATTTCCCGGATTTTCTGTAATTTCCGGGGAATAAATCCTTTCTTAAACAAATATATAAACACGAGACTAACTTTTAATAAGAAAATAACATTTATTTTTAAAATGTTACTTTATTTCAAATTTGTATATACAAAATAAAGTAACGCTTTTCAAGTAAAATTAATTTTTCTCAATATATGTATTACAAATTTTAAATATGCATACAAGCGATTTTCATAGCAAAAAAAAAAAAAAGTTAAAAAATAAATATTCCTGAGACACGAATCAATGTCTATTAAATAAGAAAATAAAAATTTTCTATTGGTTGATTTCAAAATTAATGTGCATTTTTACGGACCATTAGTAACGTTTTTCATAATGCTCAACTTTTTATAAAGTACATTTTTATAAGTGATTTGTAAAAGTTCCTGATATTTTTATAATATTTGAATACCCGCTTTATTTTTTCTAAATGTTTTTTTACTTTAATTAATGTTTGGAATTACTAATGTTGTTTGAACAAAGAATGATCATTAGAAGTTATAAGTGCTTTATAAAAGTAATAAAACTATTATAGTTTTATTACTTTTTTAATTTTGTAGTCGTAAGTTTATTATTTTGTTTTGCTTATTATAACTTTTTCGCTAATGAACATATAATAGCTCCTTGTAAACAAAGTATACAGCTTTGCTTAAACAAAAATTTTGAAGGCCAGATATTTTTCCAAAGTTTGCAAATCATGATCGCTTAATTTAACCCTTGATATAAACTTGTTACATTAAAATTATACAAATATATTTTACAAACAGATGACAATTTATATTTTCACTTTCCTTTTTAAAAAAAAACAAACAAAATATAGAAAAATCATTCTTTTTAATGTTTTAAAACTGTTTGTTTTTTTTTTTGCTTTGATTTACTGAATTTTGTTGCCGAAAATAACAACCACTATGAAGAAACAGAAATAAATAAAAAATACACAATTTAAATTATTGTTATTATTATTTTTTATTTAAGTTTATTTTAATTGCCTTTTTTTAATTTTAATTTAATTTTAATTGCTTTCTTTGTTTTTGAAACTTTTTCAGCAACACATATATTAAAACTTGCAAACGGCCGTGACCAAGTTGTCTAAAATAAAATACTCATGTGTGGACATACAAGACAAAAGACCGCACGCGTTTCTTGGGAAGGCTTGCTAATCATTTGTAAAGCCGCATTTATATCTTCTCTTTCACATATTTGCGGTTCGATATCATTTAGATTATCATTTTCAGATTCACTAGAGTTATCACTGGACAATCTAGATTCATTTTCTAAAGAATCAATGCGATGAACATTAGAATTTTCATTTCTTTTATAAATAACATTCATTACAGCCAAGTGTAAGCTGTGGTTATAACATAATTGGTGTATAAAACCAGATAATTTACCAAAATTATAAAAAACACAAAGTGTTATTATAATCTACCAAGTTTTATAATCTACCAAGTTTGATCATTACTGCAGCAGCACCAGTGGTTGATGCAACAACATCTGAAAAGATGATCTTTGATTGCATAGACATGTCTATTCATCAAACATTAGACTAAATTTTCTACTTTTTTCTTTATGTGATTTTATTTTAACAATAAATTCATTTTTTGCCATAGCAAAAAGTCATAAATTAGTTTTACATTGATTTTACCTTTTGGAAGATGATATTGTTTTTTACTTAATGCTTGACGAATGAACTCGCTTTTGCATATTCCATGAAATAAAAATCCATCAATGGGTGCAAGTCTGGCCACTATCATCATCTGCTAAGGACTGGTTTCTTAGGAAAAAATGATGTCTGACAGTTACTTGGACCAGCAATTTGATCGTCATTTAAGTTTTTTTTCTTGATATTAACGTTACGTAGATGTTGCAGATGTCTTATTATTCCACTAGTTGATGAGCCTTTACAACTTAATACTTATTTGGATATTTCAAACACCTGGCTTGTTTGCCTGCTGTTACTTTTGAAAAATATTTCCACATCGAATCAGCCATGATTAAAACAATATTTTGGTGATTCTGAATTAAAAAAATATTAGAACAAAGAAACTAGTTTTGGGGTTAAAGAAAGTAGATTATTTTGAAACTTACTTAACTTGTTAATAACTTGGATGTTACGTGGAGAACTGAATGTTATTCCAAATTTCTTGAATAATGAATAATTCAAACTGCAAATTTTAAAGAGTAACTAGCGTTTTGTATTTGAAATTTATGTGTTTATACACATTAAATGGCTTTGTGAACATTAATATATTTTTATTTTGAATAAATAACTATCCTAATGTAATAAATATATACACAAGTAATTCTTTGATATTAATTTTTCCACCAGAAATGGGAAATTACTGTGATTTTCCCAGGTCATGGGAAATATGAAATATAAAAAATTTCTTGGAATTCCCAGTCAATCCCCTTTAATTGCTAACTAATAATAAAAATACAATCACTATACTACTAATAACAATAATAATAATTTGTTTTGCTGTTGTTAAAATGTGTGGAAAATCAAACAAATTATTTGTTTTCCTTTTTTCAAAAGTTTATTTTTGTAACTATATAAGTAACTTAAAATACTATCGCATAGTAATAATAAAAAATATCGCATGAAATAATATTGCTTGAACAGTTGCATAATAATATTGCTTTAAATACCTTCATTGTTTACTACTTCATTCTTTTTTATGAGAGAATATTTTTTCAAGTTCTTATCAGATTTTGTTTGTCTAAAATAAAAAATTAAAAGAATTATAACATTATAACACATATAACATACAACAAATATAACATTATCAATGTATTCAAATATAAATTACTATTAATGACAAACAATAATATAAACTAACACAAAAAACCAACACATTAAAATACAATAACATTAAAATACAATTAATGTACAATTAATATATATATATATATATATATATATATATATATATATATATATATATATATATATATATATATATATATATATATATATATATATATATATATATATATATATATATATATATATATATATATATATATATATATATATATATATATATAACTCCAAACAATTAAACTTTAAAAATAAAAATATTTTTTTTAAAACAACTGTGAAATTAATATAAAATAGATATTCTGAAATTTCACAAACAACCTTTTTACAAGATTAATAATAAATTTAATCAACTTTGATGCAAGGACAAGCTAATTTTTCCTTTTTTTTGAAGTCCTTAGTCTTGGATCTTTTTTTTATCAAAGTAAAAAAAACGTATTATCATGTTATTGTTCTTTTTTTTATCAATTAAAAAAAAACATATTATCATGTTATTGTTCTTTAGAAAACTATTATTTTAATTAAACTAATTTTAATTAAAATTTAGTTTTCACACAATATTATTATTTCACAATAATATTATTAAAAACATACTATATTAATTATTTAATATAAAATCAAATTGATTTTTTAAACAAATGTTAACAATATAAACAATAAGTAGTTATGTTACTAAATAATGTTAAACCTATTTTTGACTTTGGTACTTGATTTCTTTTTTTCTGCTACTTTTTTTTCTACTTCTTCTGCCCACTAAAAATAAATTAAAAAGATAAATACTAATTAAAACCATCACAAAGTACAAACTATTTATAAATAAAAAGGAAAATCTATTAACTATTAAACGCATTTAAATAAATGTGATTTTATAAAAATATATTTTAACTGAGTTAAATAAGGTGTCTTTATATATTCAATAGTATATATATAAATTACTTCTCTTGGAATTTTTTTTATGACAGCTCATACCTAGTAAAAAAAACTTTTTTTTCAGAAAAATAAGCTGCTTTTCAATATTTTTTGTTGAGCGAGGAAGTTATAATATAAAATGTATTATATATAAATATTATAATTATTTTTAATTATAATTATAAATATGCAAGAAAAAAGATAAACAATAGATAATTCTGCTAATATTTATAAATCATTAAAAAACATTTTCAAGTTTTTGCAAGTATGATAATATTTTAATTATGAAACACAAAATTGCAATCCATACACATGTGGCTAGTGTTATTTAGAACTTCATTAGCAACACATTGAACACATCTCATGAGTTTGTTCCTATATATATGATGGGCTTTCTAATTTTTAAAAATTTACTGTTTGTATAATTTTTAGAAATTTACTGTTTATGTAATTTTTAGAAATTTACTGCTATAAGGTAGAAAGCTAATAGCTCTTTATACTACAATGAATTTTGTCTTGATTAAAGTGATTTCAGAAAAAAAAAAAGCACACAGAGAAGTTGCAGTCAGAAAATAAATAATAAAAAAATGCACTATAACAATAAAAGTTACTGACATACTTTAGTATTTACTATATATGAGGTGACTTGCAGGAAAAGGTACCAAGTCTTAAAAAAAGTTTTAACTACCAGATCTGAATAGATGGAAAAAAAATCATCTTGATGTCTTTATAAATGGTGGATATCTCATGAATGGCGGATTTACAGAGTTTTTAACTTTTGGATGAAACATTTTGAAAATTGCTTCTGAGAAAAATGCAAAAAAAAGTTCATTAATTTTAAAACTTAAAAAAAAAAGTTAATGTTAATTTAGTGAAATTTTTTTTTTGTTAAAAAAATGTTTAGTGTTGCTTTGATTAAAAAAAATATTAATTAGTTATTATTACTATTAGTTACTTTTAGTTAAGTTAATAATTCTAAAAAAATAAATTGTAAACATTCTAAAAAAAAAAAAGCTTTTTTGAAAAATTGAAGAGTATCTGTTCTTTTGTGCGGTGACATTCGTTGAACTTAGAGCAGTTTTGAATTTTTGTTTTAATTAAATACTTTGCCAGGGAAAACTTTTGATATTTCTCATTTTGATTATAAGCTAAATGCAGCAAATGTTGCATAATTTATGAATAATCTCTAAGTGTTATGCCTGCATTTTATTAAAAATTGTGTATATTTTATCAAAATTAAGTATTTTAAAGTAAAGTCAAAAATTTTTTAAAATAACAGCTTTTTAACATAGGAGGCCCAAATATTGTAAATAAGAATTTTATTCTGTAGTTTTTGAAAAAATACCTTTTATTACACATAAACTTGAAAACTTGTAAAAAAAACTTGTAGTTTAAGCTAAGTGTTGATAGAAATTTTTTTCCTAATTTTAAAGGTAACCTTCTTTACTGTTCATTATCTCCTGAAGCTTTTTCTTATTTCCTAAAGTTTTTGAAGATTTTGAAGTTTTTCTCATGACGCGCCTCATATTGTAATACAAAAATATATAAAAATAAAACTCATGATTCAGTACTAGAAGTCTTAAATTAAACTTGAATAAACTCAGCCCCTTTGCCCCTGCCTTAGTCCCTCTGCCCCTCTGTTCATTTACTTTTGAACATGCAAACTTTCTTGAAATGCAAAACCTTAATAATTTGCAGCTTAAGTTATAATTTAAAGCAGTAATTTGTAATTTGCAAGTTAAGTTGCAGTAATAATGTAATGTACAAGAAACTCTGACAAGTTTTTATTATTATGTAATAAGGTAATGTACAAGAAACTCTGACAAGTTATTATTATAGTCTAAGTTATTATTCGTACTTCTCAGATTCGACTCTAACAAATAAGAATATTAGTTGTGTTTATACTTTTTACTTTTAGTAATTGTTTATACTTAAAATGATAACTAAAAAAGTAAAAGTAAAAACCTATATATTGCAATATTTAAACCACTTTCAACAGTTAAAAAAACTGTTCATACTGTCAATAAAACACACTTTATTTTTATAACTAATTAATTTGTTATTGTAAAATGCTAATTATAAAACAATACTGCGATGTTGTTTTGTCAATATAAGAAGAAAAAAAATTTAAAAATTTGAAAAACTCTTTGAAGTTTTTATTAAAACTTTTTTTAAATTTAAAATTTAAAAAACAAGATTATTTGAATAAAAAAATTTTAGAAGATTTCTAATTGCCTTGTTTAAATAGATTTTTTTTTTAAAATGAATTCCATAAAACAAATTTATAAATTTTGATATCACTATAAATAAAATGAAAACATAAAAAAAAGCTATTGCGTTTTTCATATTCTATTCAAAGTTTCTTCTTAAATAGTTTTCAGATAGAAGGTTAATATTATGTTAACAACATATAAAATATACACTTTTATGGCTAACTTTAGCAAGTAAATGTCTTTGAGCATATTAAGTATATTTAAAAGCTTAATAACTTAACTGGTTGTCTTGATTTATTTTATAGGTAAATTTACTGTGCACTTTATCCATAAAGCAAATCACACTAAATTTAACTTTTTAATAGAAATAGGATATTATTGGTTTCCACGCAGAGATTTAAAGTAATTAAAATTAGAAAGAGCTTTATGCTGAATAACAATTTCAGCCTAAGAGAGCAAATTATCTTTTTTTTTTTGTTTATCTAAAATTTAAATTTAGTGTGACAATTTAAGATTGACCCCTAATAAAAACCTCAGACAAAAACATTCTATACTTTTTAGAATGGCCAAAAAAGTGCTAAATTAATAAATGCTAAAAAAAAAAAAAAAAAGCAAAAAAAAAAAAGATTTTTTTTTTTTATTCTGATTCACTCCCAACAAGGCTGCAAACAACCACTATTAAGTTTGGAGATTACTAGAAATTACTAGAAATAAAAAAAAGAGTTAAAGAGCAAGGAAATGATTGACAGAAGACTTAAAAAGTTGTACGTTGTAGTCAGAAAAGCATAAAAATTGGGGAGAGGGTTGAAGTGCGAGGGAAAAACTAGACAACTAAAAGTTTTTAGAGCACGCATAGATAAATACAGCAAAACGATGAGAATTTGAAGAAAAACAAGTCAAGCGAGAATGAGTTTTGGTTGATGGAACTAGAGATTACAGCTCCTTTGAGCAGCAGCCATGATAGACTTTGTAGAAAAGAAAAAGAGATGTAAGATGCTTCATTTATCCATGGGACATAAATGGTAAACATGGAGCAGATGTCTTTCGAAGACATGGCGGTGACAAGGTTTTGATTGTCTGGGGAAGTTTTTCATGGTGTGGTATAGGCCCTTTACATAGAATTCAAGGGACACTGGATCAACACATATACAAAGAAATACTAGAAAATGTCATGTTGCCATATGCCATGGAAAATCTTCCTTTGGTTTGCAAATTCCTTCCTTTGGTTTGCAAGTCAACGACTCCAAACACACCGCCAAAAGTGTTAAAGTGTGGTTTAATGCTATCAAGATTAATGTTTTGGAGTGGCCCGCACAGTCACCAGACCTAAATGCGATAAAAAATTTGTGGGAGAAAGTTGGCAGAAACATAAATAAACTGCAAAAAATTTAGACCAACTTTGGATTAAAAAAAAGCCTGCTTTGTTGGTATTATCAATGGGTCATTGTTGTAGAGCAGTTATTGACCCCACCAAATTATTGTATCAATTATTGATACCCCTCTAAATATTAGTCATTTTAATATCTCAAATAAAGTTTTCTTAACTATTTATACATAGAACTTCTGTGACTTTTTTATAACAAAAGGGCAATATGATAACTTTGTACAGGGTGTACTATTTAAATTGCCTTTTTATTCTGTATATCTAAATCATTTATATGATGGTACTTTTTTTTAAACTAGGTTACTTTAATTTTTTACTGTTAAAATACCTATAAAGGTGTTTGAAAAAAATAATACAAAATATAATCATTCTTGTACAAACTAATAATAATATAATTACAAAAGTACAATAAAATCAGTTTAAAAGTTTATCATGTCATACAAAAGAAATAGGAAATAGCAAAAGTATAGGCTAAAAAGATATGCAATATGCATAAAAAATAGCAGCTAAACAGAAATTGTCATATATAATATATATATATATATATATATATATATATATATATATATATATATATATATATATATATATATATATATATATATATATATATATATATATGTATATGTATATGTATATGTATATGTATATGTATATGTATATGTGTGTGTGTATATATATATATATATATATATATATATATATATTATATATATATATATATATATATATATATATATACACACACAGAGCTGAAGATTTTATATGAAAGGCCTTCTGTGTTAGAGAAAAAATTTGTTAAAAGTTAACTAATAAATATATTTTACTTATCTTAGTTTGAATAGTTTTTCTTTCATTACCTGGAACTTTTTATTTATATTTGTTAAAAAATTTTTTTTTGCTAAACATTTATATATATATATATATATATATATATATATATATATATATATATATATATATATATATATATATATATATTTGTTATTCACCTCCTCAAGGTTCAAGGCCGAGAAGGCCACTACAGACGAGGAGGCTACTTAATAGTGGTTATAACCCTCTCTCAACTCTATAACTCCGAAACACGAACCTCGATGAACAAGGCTGATGCGCGGAGAAACAAGTTGAGCGCGGTACTACCAGGGACGTGGTGGGGATCAAACTTGGAACCTCTCGCTTATGAAGCAAGTGTTTTACCGCTACACCACTACGCATATATATATATATATTTATATATATATATATATATACTTATATGTATGTAATAATATATATATATACATATAAGTATATATATATATATATATATATATATATATATATATATATATATATATATATATATATATATATATATATATATATATATATATATATATATATATATATATATATATATATATATATATATATATATATATTTATATGTATGTATGTAAGTATGTATAAATGTATATATGTATGTATGTATGTATGTATGTATGTATGTATGTATGTAAGTATGTATAAATGTATATATGTATGTATGTATGTATGTAAAATAGCTGTTAAATTAAATAACTGTGCTGTTACCTTGTCTTTAAGTTTGCCATCAATGTATTCTTGACAACTAATTTTTATCACAATACCAGAACAATCAGGGGTTAGACATTTACTCCTCAGAACTTCCTAAAAAAAGTTTTTTAAATATATTTTCAGCCTGCAGCTAAAAAAAAACAATATAGATTATTTTTTAGCCAATTTTTTAAAATATTTTACATTGCTTAAAGTAAATTGAATTTTAAGAAATATAAAATACTTTTATTGTAATAAACCTATAAGATAATAAAAAATTACACCTAAAAAACTATTTATGCATTACATTTGGTAAAAATTTAAAAATATTATATATCTATCTTTACTATGATACAACTCATAAATATTAATTACTGGACAAAACTCTGTATGTATATTTACATGATAACAACCAATTTTAATAAGTAAAATAAAATAAAGTTTGCACTTATTTTACAATGAAAAAGAAAACTAGAATCTATTTTGAACTTAACTTGGTGTGAAAACTTTTTTGTATCATAAAATAACAATTCTAAAACAGTTTTTCATATGAAGTCTTATAAAATGTTTAAGTGATACTAAATTTTAACTGCATGTAGGTAAAGTAGTAAAGGTTCTAAACTCAAAGTTAACTACAAATCATTACCAATCTATAATGGCAGACCATTTTGATCTATTTGACCATTAAAAAATCTGTTTATTAAAAAAAAATTAAAACACAATTACACAAGATATTTTTGTTCTATATAATTGTTTTTAGTTCAGAACCTAGTTACCATAGTAAAGATAGTGCTGTAAAACCTTTAAGTTAATAGGTCAAATAAAATATAAAAAAATGTTGTTTAAATTGTTTAAAAATTCTATTTTTGAAAAAAAATAAAAACATAATAAAAAATCAAAAAAGAGTATAAAAATTTCATGACTAGTGTACAACAGATGATATATAACAACAGATGTTTTCTCATCTAACTCATTTTTTATCTAAAAAAATTTTTTTTTAATAACACATTGAATTTTTCTATATATTTTTGGAATCTGCAATGATTGAATAAAGTAATAAAGGTAGAAAAAAAAAATTTTAACCCTATTACCAATAATGTAATGAGATTAAATTTTTTCTTTTTTTTTTGAGACCACCATAACATTCATTAATTAACATTTAACATAATTCATTAATAAAATTAATTATTGCTATCTCATTATTCATCTATGATCTTTTTATCTCATTATTCATCTTTATTTAAAAACTTTGGCATATAAAATTCGCCGAATGGTCACACACGAGCAGTGAACGCCTGAGGGAATTATTTATTAGACAAAGGAGAATTATTTATTAGACAAAGCATATTTTGACAGTTGTCAAGACAAAGATGTGTACGACTAGATGTTTTCTCATCTAACTCATTTTTTATCTAAAAAATTTTTTTTTTAATAACACATTGAATTTTTCTATATATTTTTGGAATCTGCAATGATTCACATATATATATATATATATATATATATATATATATATATATATATATATATATATATATATATATATATATATATATATATATATATATATATATATATACATAAATAAAAAATTAAAAAAAAAAAAAAAAAATTGTTTTATAATTACCAATATGAACTAAAATATACAAGAAATACATAACCAGTCAAAAATTTGTAAAACAAAAAACTATTCAGTAAATTAAAAATATGCTAACGACAATGAAAGGACTAATAATGGAAAAAAAAAAAAAAAAACATTAATGCTAATGTGTAGACATAATTAGTGTAGTGATAAGTAATAAACATCTCCTCAGAGTCGCGTCTATTATTACTGGCGTTTCGATGAGGATCAGCATTTATAACTAGTTTATCCCATCAGACAAACGTCATCGCCACTTATGCTTTACCCCAAGACTTACGCCTATTCCGTACTGCAGTAAAAAAGGACTCACTACAAATAGCCAAAACCCAACCAACCCCCAATTTTGTAAAGCACCAATATTTTTCTTGATGATATGATATAAAAAGTATAGATTTACTGAACAAACAAAAATAAAAATAACAAAATAAAACACTTACCGTACCACCAAAAGAAAACATGAAAACAAAATAAATTAAAATTCTAATAGAAACATAAAAATATTAATCAATTTATTTTAAGAAATAAAACCAAATAGGTATTATTAGCATAAACAAGCCCAAGATAATCAGAAAGCAGTATACCTCATTAAAATTTATTTTAATAAACGAAACAATACCCTTAAATAAACTCTAACGCTGTCATAGATACCTCATTCAAAATATGATAACCAATCAAAAGTGTAGGAAAATGAGTAACCCGCGAAACCCAAAATCATAACAATAATAGAATAATATATGATAGCAAAAAAGAACGTTGCACAAAAACCTTAAAAATGTAAGCGACATATGTGTAAACATTAAATGAAGGATATAAAAATATTCTCTGAATAATAATAAAGATAAAAATTGTGTGAAAACAAAGGTGAGTAATGAAAGCAAGATAACATGAAAGTTTCTGTAAACAGTAATAATATGAAAATCAGGAGATAAGTAAAATATTAATAAATATAGCAATAAGACTAAATAAATATTGTAACAAAACCAGATAATTTTAAGCCAAATTTAACATAATTCATTAATAAAATTAATTATTGCTATCTCATTATTCATCTTTGATCTTTTTATCTCATTATTCATCTTTGATCTTTTTTTAGATACTTAATTACTTAATATGTTATTGTAGACATTTTTCACGATGTAAACAGCCAAAAAAAATTTAAATATTTTTTCTATCCAGAACTCAAATTTGTTAAACAAGACCACGAAGGTAATAGGTGTGCAGAGTAATAGGGGTGTAGGTAAATAGGTAAGGGTGTAGGTAAATAGGTAGGGGTGTAGGTAAATGTGCAGAGAAAAATTTGATTGCGTACTATCTTTTTTAGAAGTTTTTAGTTGAAATTATTTTTAATTTTTTCAAACTACTCTTTCCAGTAGGTTGACATGAAACAAAAATTATTAAAACAGGCTAAAAAAGGAATACTATAATGAAAAATTATACAAACATTTTAATCAAAATACACAGATATCGCTACAAATCAAAAAATCTTACGCTACAAATCAAAAAATCTAACTTTTTCAAATGACTTTAACTGTATGAATTTTTTGATTGAGAAAAAAAAAAAAAAAAAAAAAAGGTAATAGGGTATAGAATATATCTAAAACCTTTTTAGAAACTTCCATTTCTTTTTTGAACTTGTTCCAACAAACAGGATGCATCTTGATATAACAGTTAGATCCTTCCTTAGCATTGCACTGCAGACAAATAACTTTGAAATCTACAGAAAAAATAATCTAAAAATCATAAAGTAAAAATATAAAAAAATGTATACATATTTTTTTTGCAAAACTAACTTTTTTGGACCAGAAAAAAGTGTGCTCTTTATAAATGAAGAAATCCCAATATCATTCATACTAAAAGAAATCTTTTTTATTTTATCTCATATAAAATAAGTAACTCGGTCACAAATAATTTATTAATCCACAGAATATTGGTATAAGTTTGGTTTTTGCACAAGCTATTGGTTCAAATCAGTTTTTTCTTATTAAAAATTACATTTTAAAACGCAATTAAACACAAATACATTAAATCTAATTTATGATAAAAACTTTGTATAAACAAATTTATGAATTGTAGTAAAAAAAAAGAAGAAGTAGTTTAAGTATTTTAAATATTTAAGAAACTTTTCTTAAAATTATTTTAAAAGACCACCATTGTTTAAAAAGTTTGTTCAGTTATTCAAAAAAGATAACAGCGAAACAAAGGAATTTTTTAAAAAGATTGCAAAAAAAAGTATATATAATTAATATATTGAATATACTATTATACATATTATTTTCTTACTTATATTTAAAATATTCATAAAAATATTTTATATTTTATTATACATAAAAAGAAAACAATAATTCAATACTTTACTGTGGTTATTGTACCCATTAAAGTTTTTCTTAATTATTATAAAACTTATTATAGGAATCTATGAAAAGGTATTTTTAAGGGACTCAAAAAACACCACAAAAAGGTATGCATGCATCCTAGTATCATACCTAGTATCTTATTAATTTTATAAAATTTAATATCCCTCATTTTTTCAACAATTTTAATCTTATGTCAATTTATTGGGAAAGGGTGGTTTAAAAACATCTGATATAAAAATAACTTCAATTTAAAATTTCTATATAAAAAAGATTGCTACATAAGCAAGCAGTGTGTTATAAATAAATATAAATTTAAATTTGTATAACGCAATATCGCCTAAAACTGCTCTTTTTTAGAGGTTTTCAGCTAAAGTTATTTTTACTACTTTCCAGTAGGTTGACATGAAATAAAAACCAATATTTTAATAAAAATTGAAATCTAGTTTTTTTTTTAAAAAAAAGATTAAATTTCCCTGTGAACCCCTGTTGAATTTCTTGGTGAATCCCTCCAAAAAGGGTTTTTTTTTAGGAGTATTATCAGCTCTTGTGCTCCAATTTCTGTGATTTTTTGCTAAGTATTACCATTTAAATGAAAATTAGTGCAAAAAAAGTTACGATTTTTCTGTCACAGTATAATTCATGGAGATTTTGAGCAGTTTTTTTTTTTTTTTTTTTTTGCAAAGGTAGCAAAGCTAGGACCGATTATTTATCAATATTTGGACCAAATATTTATTTGGAGCAAAATTTTCTTTTGTTTTAATACTCAATTTTTTAATAGGTGAATATTGAAAGTCCTATTTTTCTTTCTCTTTTAACACTCATGATACTGGGGTTTGATGTAATGTTATTTTTTTAAGCAAAGGTTTAGTCATTTTAAATCATTGAGCTTACTTAAATAAACTGTTGGCCTTGTAAAAATTGTTAGTCAGTAGGCTACTCATGGTTACCACAAGATTTCAGTAATGTCTAGCTGTCTGTGTGGTGTATATCAAACGCACTGTCAAACTTTATTTAAGCAATTCAAGTTTGTTTTGGCAATGTGTATCAGCATTGAGCACGCTTGAGAAAACTGTTGTTAGTCTTTTAATTAAGTCAAAAGGCCACTCATGATTACCAGTTTCAATGTGTACTTGTATTAAACAAACTAGTTAAAATTAAAATTTTCAATTTTAAAAATGTAGTTTTTTACTTTACTATTTTCTGTTCTTTACTCATTTCAGGTTGCTTTTTTTATTATTATAGCTTATTTCAATAAAAAACATAAAAAAATACCAGGATCATTGTAATAGATTATTCTTGTTTTTAATACACACAGTGAATATTGACATTTAGCATCTGGAGCGGGAGGACACCTGCATAAATCCAGTAAAGATTCAACGGCTGGCTAAAATCAAATTGTAAAAGTATATACATAAAAAAAAAATTTTAATATATTTGTGATGAGGCAAATAAATCACTTAAGGTGATTGACTGATTTACACCACTGGGACAAGTTATAAAAACTGTACATATTTTTTTAGTAACTTCATGGAAATCTCAGTATTAAAAAAATGTCATTTTTAGGGAATTTCATTGTTTCTCAATTTTTTTAAGTTAAAATAAAATAAACATTTAAAAATTCATTTTCATCATTAGCTTGAAAATTTAAACATTATATATGAAACACTATATATAGTGTATAGCTAAATATACTTGATAAACAATATATATACTATATATACTAATTTAAATGTACTTTAAAAAACAGTTCTGTAATTAGTCTGTAATATCTAAGAAACAAAAATTAGTGTTAAAACACTAATTGAATACTTTTTTGATGAAGGGTCAAATATAAAAAATCATATTGTTAAACTTTGACTATAACTTAACAAAAACTTCATGTATGTAACCATTACTTATTTATTCAAAAAACCAAAAATTCTTATAAACTTACACGAAGGTTCCCTGGTATTGATTCTTCTATATAATCTAATGAACCAGGCCATAGAACATTAACTAAAGCATTTGGCTTCCAACTTATTTCTAATGCAATTTGCAATGGATGAAGAGCTTCTTTAAACCTTAAAACAAATGAAAAAATAATCTTGATATATAAAGTCTTTAATAAAAATATATATAAAATATATAAAAAATATATAAAAATATATAAAAAAAATAACAAAGTACAATTCAGTATAAAAAAAAATTTACTCTTTTATTTGTCAATCAAAACTAAATTAATCAAAACCTTTGTTTAAAAAAACAAAAAAAAGTGAATTTGCCATCAAAATAAGAGAAAGATATAAAATATAAATATAAATATTAAATATAAAAAAAGATATAATACAAATATATAAATATAAAATTTTCTTAGATAATACTTTATTAACGCATAATATATTATGCTAAGTTTAAAGTTAAAATTTTTGAATATTTTATGATTCAAATTATTTGAGAATTTGATTCAATTTCTGCTTAATGACATTACTAAAATAAAGTTAATCTTGTCAAAAATGTTTTATTTAATATCTAACTGGATTTAACAGTTTAACATTTTTTGAATTAGCTTTTAAATACCCAGTAAACTTTCATCTACAGTTTTTTTATTTCAATTCTACACCTCTACATTTATGTTATAAAATATTATTTATGTATTTAACAATATATTTATCTAGAATACATGTAATATAATTAATATAATATAGTACAATAAAATAAATATATCATAAAATATAGTATATAATAAAATATAAAAATAAATACTAGTTTTTTTAGTTTTATAATATAACAGAATATTATAATATAATATTTAATTATATACAGTGCTGGCAAAAAGTCTTGGAACAAGGCACAATTTTACACAAATCAATGTTTGCAATGTTTACACAAATACAAAAAAACTTGCAACATCATAATTACTTTTCATAATTACTTCCAAAAACAATAATACTTCCAAAAACATTATATTTTTACCAAAAACAAGTTCAATTATTTTTATTAAATTGTATAATCATTTTAAACAGATGTACTATTTTCACCAAAAACAAGTTCAATTATTTTTATTACATTTTATAATCATTTTAAACAGACGTACTATTAATATTTGGTAGGATATCCTTTGTTTTTTAACACAGCACTAATTGGTTTGGGCATGGATTGGCAAAATTTTCATATAGTCCTAATGTAATTTCTGTACACCATACATGACGAATAGCATTTTTTAAACCATCTAATGAACTGTAGTTCTTAGCAGATACATGCTTCTTGATTAACATCCAAAGATTTTTAATTGGGTTGAGATCTGGAGAACTTCCAGGCCAATCAAGTAACTGTAATTGATTAGTTTCATTCAAAACGTTGAGGTACTTTTTTGCATTCATAGTTTCTCCTTTGGGAAAAAAGTATAAATCTCCAAGGCCATGAGCAGAAAAAGAACCCTACACCATTACAGAAGGTGAATGCTTCACAGTTTTGCATGTGTATTTAGGATTGGTAGGATTAGATCTAATAGGTTGACGAACAAAAGCTAAACATCTAAGAACTGACGAACCATGGACTCATCACTGAACATCACAAAACTGACTTTTTGCCAGCACTGTATATAATAATAATCTGAAAACAATTAAAACAATTTTTCACAGTTATAACTTGCTTGACTCAAGATACTATTAAAAAGATCAAATGGTCACACGAGCAGTGAATGCTTAAAAAGATTTTTCAAATGGTCACACATAAGCAAAGATTGGTTAGAAAGATTTGTCAAATGGTCACACATGAGCAGTGAATGCTTAAAAAGATTTGTCAAATGGTCAAACACAAGCAGTGAATGGTCAAGGGAAGAATGAAATAAATAATGATATAGGAGAATTAGTTTTCAAGCAATACAAATAAAGACTTTTAGAAATTTAGTTTGTATTCTACACCTCTAATAATAATATAACTACACTTTTACATTTATTTTGCTAAACATTATGATTAGTACTTATTTATTTGCAAATTAAGTACTAGTTATGTTTTTGTAAATATAACTAAAATATAACAAAAACTGCATGAAAATTTTTACCTGTTTTGTGCCAACAAAACTTGTCCAATACCTAGATAAGGTAGAGGGAAACAGTAATCTGCAAAATTCTTATTGATTAATTGATATTGATTGATAGATTCATTCCATTTCTAAAACAAAGCATATTTTAATTGACTTAATTAAATTTTTTAGAATTTCCATGCAAAATCCTAAAAATAAATTAAATAAATTCTAAAAATACTTTATGAAATCTTAAACCTATAAAAAATATATACTGTGTAAAATAAAGTCAAAACAACAACAACAACAACAACAACAATAACAACAAAAACAACAACATCAACAAAACATAAAAATAAAATAAATTCAAATATGATGTCCTTTATAAAATAATAACTAAAATTTCTCTACATAATGTAAAATATACGTAGCACAGAGCTCATTTCATTAAATATATTTGATTGGTTTAAATCAAAAAAAGATATTTGATTGGTTTAAATCAAAAAAAGCTTAATAAACATATTATACAGCAGGTTAGAAACTTTACAGTTGTAAAACCAATTTTTAAAAATGGCTTTGTAATAACTCTAAATGTATTCTATATCAGGGCTCGGATTAATCACGATTGCTTATTTACTTTTGTTTTTTAATTTAGCATTTTTTTGGCATTTTTTAAAAGTAATGTTTTGTCATAAAGTACGTCACGCTAATTTTATCTTTTGAATAGATGCATGATCATTTGCACTTTCTCGCAAAGATTTTCACTCAACATAAAGCACTAAAGAATTTTTGAATTGCTATTTGTGACACTATTCTGTTTTCACTATTTGTGACCCTGTTTCTTTTTTTATGTTTTTGACACTATTTCGATTATATTATTTGCGACACTTATCTTATATGTTGTAAACACATAAAAATTATTTTAACAAAAATTGTCAAATAAAATATGAAAAACGCAACACCATTTTTTTTATATTTTTATTTTATTTAAAGCAATATCAAGATTAAACATTTTTTATAAACACACAAGTTGTTTTTAGGAATTTTATTTCAAAAGAAATCTATTTGAACAAAAGAATTTTAGTCATTTAAAACTCTCTTATTTGAATAATTTTGTAACTGAAATTTAAAATGGAAAAAAATTGGAAAACTTTAAAAGAATTTAAAGAAACAAGGAAAAATGAGGATAGTTTTTTTTTCAAAAACTATTAATCAAAATTAATAAATTATTTTACTTCTGTTCAAAAAAAATTTTTTTTTAATAATAATTTAAGCATATTCTTATGCTTAATATAATTCGATTTATTAAACCAAACTTTTTTGTTTCACTTTATATTGAAAAACAATTTGAATAAAAAAATTGAATGAAAATATCAATTTAAAAACCATTTGAATGAAAAAATTAATTATACTAAATATTTTTAGTAGGCTAGATCAAGAAGTAATAAATTATAAAAAACGTGGTATCTAATATTTTTTTGCTTTGATCTTACTCGTTTGGTATATAGATTTATAGACACTATAACTGCAACTTAAACTTTTAATTATAACTTAAGCTTTAAATTATAACAGTAATTTACCTATTTTAAATTCCGCCAAACAAGAAAATTATTAGATAACATTTAAATATGAGGGATAATATGCTAAAAAAAATTTTTTAGTAACGAAACCCTCTCCCCTCCTCCCATTACCACAAAGCGGCACAAATTATGAAGACAAAAAATTATTTTTTCGCAATTGATTTTTTTTGGGTTAATTCAAGCCCTGTATATAATAAAATAAATTTAATAAATAAAAAAATTTTTAAAAGGTTTTTAAAACACTTGAACATTTACAGAATTCCTTATCTATATAAAATGGTAAAATGGTACTCAAAAGAAGTAAAATTATAGAGTAAAACCGGATCAAACCACACACCATATTATTCCTCACACTGATCGAAATTATCAAATAAAAACTGAATGAATATGGTTATAAAAAAAATAAAAATAGATCAAATACAGAATTATCTCCTCCATTTGAATTGATAAAACTCGCTGATTCAACTCAATTTTTCTTCTTTTATGCAACTTTAACAGAGTCAAAAAATTTTATTTTTTATCGTTGCGAACAAAATAGCGCTTGAACTGAAACTGATATAAAAATAATTTCAGCACTATTTTATTGGAAATTTAATTTTTATTTTAATAGTATAATTTTTTATGCAGCTAGAACAAAAAGTTGAATAAAAAATCAAAAAAGTAAAATCTCTTTTTCATTTATTAATATTATAATATTACTTAGTTTTTTGCAAGTGACTAAGCATTTTTTTTTTTTTAAGCACATATTTTTATCTAATTAACTAAGTATAAATTCTCGTTTATTCTGGTTATTTTTATCTAATTAACTTAGTATAAATTCTGGTTTAATTAAAAATGAATTGTAATGTTATTTGTCAATACAATCATCACTTACTCATTAAAAACCAATTATTATACTATTTCACAATATAATCATCTCTCAATTCAACTCAACTCTCTCCTTTCAATATATCAACTAAAAAAACAAAAGCATACAAGGAAGATGATATATTAGCTGCATTAACTATGAAAGAAAAAAAAACATCACTGAGAAAAGCTGCATTCAAACATTGCGTTCCAGTCTCAACACTCAAAGATCGCAAAAATAACAATAACAAAGGCTTCCACGGCACAGGTACAACAACAGGTACATGAAACAGAATGAATGATGGTGTATGCTTTCCAATCACTTGGTGACTGATGTTATGGTTTAACCCGAAATGAAATCCTTAAACTTGGATGTTGTACCTGATACGCAAAAATCAATTGCACTTATTGAAAAATAGCAAGCCTGGCAAAGACTGGTTATATGCCTTTATGAAGAGATGGTTAAAAGAAATTTCAACAAGAAATATGGATAACTTAGAATCTAAAAGAGCCGCTTCTTGTAAGCCAGAAACAATTAATAGTTACTTTGTATGCTTTGTCAAGTAATATCAATAGACTGGTATAACTACTGGGTCGCATATTTGGAATTGGGATGAAACAGATTTTTCGGGTGATCAAGACAAAGCAACTGTAGAGTGTCAAAAAAAGACAAGATGTGCATTAAACAAAATGGTAACAATGAAAAAATTCATTATACTGTGAACAATTGCTGCAAAGCTGATAGGCAATTTGCACCATCATTTGTGATATACAAAGCCAAAAGAAACTTTCGTCCTGACTGGGCCAAAGGTGGTCCAATTGGCACCAAATATATTTAATTTCAAAATTAGTTTAAATGGGGTACAATGTTTATTGAATAGCTGAAAGAAGTATTTATACATGAAACTGAGCAAATTGGTGGTATTCATATTTTAGTATTAGATGGGCATACAAGTCACATAATTTTGGAAGCAGTATTGCTGTGCAAAAAATACAATATAACTCTGATATGTCTACCAAAGCATTCTTCACATATTCTACACCCGTTGGATAGAGGTGTCTATTGTCATGTAAAACAAGCGTGGAAAGAAATTTTTACCAAGTATTACAAAGACTCAAAATGTAAGAATTTAGATAAACAAAATTTTCAACCGTTGCTCTAACTGCTGTATGAGAATGGTAAATATTTCACATGCTTGCTGCAATTGCTGGTTTCTAGTAAACTAACCAGCAATTGCTTTGCATGCAATTGCTGGTTTCTAGTACACTAGTTTATTTCCACCTTATAAAAACAATATAATTCATAATCCGCAGCACCTACTCCAACTACACACCGATTACCATCTTTCTTCACTACACCAGCTTCAAGATTTGATAGGTTTCAAAAATGTGTTGCGCGCTGCAAAAACAGTATCAAGATGAAGTTAAAGCAATTCTTTCAAGCAAGAAATCAATCGCATGTTAAGAAATCGAAGCAGTGCAACATGTCAAAACATTACAGAAAATAATTAACGAAAAAAATATAATTGAGTTCCTGAAACAAAAAGATGAAGAAAAAGCAACAAAGGAAATTGTGAAAGTTGCTAAACTTAATGCAAAGGGTAGATCTCTATGCCAAGTACTCAATTGCCTGAGCATAATAATGCTGAACAACCACAGAAAAACAATAATTAAAAACAAGAACCATCAGTAAAAACGATTAAATTTGTCAATGTGTCAGGAACGGTTGTGCAAAGAACATGTTTTTCAAAAAAACATGTAGTTGAAACCGAATATTTTTGTTGCAAAAATTGTAAAAATTTCAATATAGTTTTTTAAATTTATATTTAAAAAACTATATTGAAATTTTTTTTCTTTACATCTAATATTTTTGATAATTTTATAATTTTTATCAAGTAAAATTTCAAAAAGTATAGGAATATTGTACAAAGCAAGATATGTTTTAAATAAACATACTTTAGTACAATTATTTATTATTATTTGTCACATTAACAAACATTATACTTATATACAGGCCTCGGCAGGAAGCGAGAGCTTTAGCTCTCGCTCTCGCCCACATTCCCCTAAAACAGTTTACAGGAGCAATTTACGGCTCTCGCAAAAGTATAATTTTTCTCATGAAGGTATAATTAAAATTACAAAAGAGTGCTAATTTAAATGAGGAGCAGCTCGCACAGCTCCCCAAATTCATTTTAAGAGAGCTTTTCTCAGCTCTCGTGCTCATTTGTTCCTGCCGAGGCCTGTATATATACTTTTAACTTAATTTATTATTGGTTCCTGAATCAATTTTTATAAACAGATAAAAATTGATCCAGGAACCAATCAACAGAAAACTTTATCAAAATTTATTGTTCCTGAATCAATTTTTATCAACAGAAAACTTTATCAAAATTTATTGTTTTAATCAAAAGTTAAATATGTAATGTTTTTAAATGACATTTTAAAGTCGTAAATATAGGCAACCTAAAACAGTACATAACAATAATAATAAAAAAAATAAATTGTTTTATAAACACAAATGAAGATATACAACAAATCTATCACCAACAAAAAACATATAAAACAAAAAATTGATTACAAAATAAAAACGTTTTTTTCAAAATATAAAAGTTTTTTTTTATTACCTATCTAATAAAAACAAAAAACAAAGACAAAAATTGAAAAAAAAAGTTATTTAACTTTTATTGATTAGTGTGTATTAGTGTATAAAATTTTTAAAAAAACCAACAAAATGTTTACTACGCGAAAAAATATATGGCATTAAAAGTGAAAAAAAAAAGTTATTTGTTAATACCACAATAAATAATTTGTTTTAGTTCTATTAACTCTAAACTTATTTTCTTTAAGTTTTTTTAAGATATGATCAATAGAAGTTTTATTAAATTAAATTAAAAAATTTTTTTTTAAAACAAAAATAAGAAAAACCCTTTTCTGGCAGAAAGTTCCAATTAATTACAACTCGATGATTGAAAAAGTTTTATCAAACCACACAGTTACTATTAATTTCCTGACAAAAGCCCATACAATAACCATATATATCCCTATAGTATTACTCTATGAAATTTTAAAAATAATGCTTCATATTAAAAAAAAATTATTTTATTGCATGAAAACAATGGTTTTTCAACAAAAAGTGCATTTTTACAAGCTTTTCGATAATATTTTTTTCTTAAGATGTTTTTTAAAATACTTATTTTCAAAATTTTTGTATAATTTCATTTCTTTTAAGTGTCAGGTTAACATACTTCTATGGATTTAATTTTTTTTTAATATGAAAATGTTTCATATTATATTTTAATAAAAAATATTTTTCAAGGGAAAAATATTTTTTATTAAAACTTTTTTTTAATCCAGTGTTACTTTTATAAAGAATACTTTTAGGTCTATTTTTTATAAATAATTAATAAGCAATTTTTTAAAAAACTGTTTAATGCACTATGTTGTACAATTAGTTAGAAATTAAAATGTACACTAGGTTAGTGAAAGATACATTAAAAAAAAGTAAAATGATATAAGCAAACAGTTGTTGGGGTCAGACATACAAAAAAAAAGCAAATATATTTTAATTCAATATTAAAAAAAAAGTAAAAAGATACCGTGTGACCAAGCCCATAGCATGCTGTAGCATATGCATACAATAATGCTATAGTTGAACGTGCAGCATATATCTAAAAACATTCAACATAAGTTATGCATAATATATAAGTTTATCACAAACTGGTAATAACATTTAATAACAACTGGATATTTCAATAAGTAATACACCACAGCCACAAAACACACCAGATCCAAAAAACACACAACAACTTTTTAACCTTAGATATTGCTTCGTTGTCAGATTTAAAAGAATTCAAAAAATTCTGGGAAAAACAACTAACTTTAAAAAAAAATTTAGAGAAAAATAAAGCATTATAAATGTTTTAAGGTAGTTGATAAAATGCAAACTGCGAACCACGAACCAGTAAATTGTTTATTTTGTTATATATATTAAATGAACTTTATGCAAAATATATCAAATTCCATTATATTTAAATAAAAAAATTGATGAGCAAACGTTTTTTTAAATATCATAACTATAGTGGTCATTAAAGTATAATGTCTTAGTTTGCAAAAAAGTTTGCATTTTACCAACTACCATGTTTTAAATAAAATTTGAAAACTCATTTAAAAAAAAAATGAAAATATCATATTAATGAATAAAAATTTAAAAAAGTATGCAGTTATGTTAAGAAATCATAAAAAACAAAACAAAAACAAAAACAAAAAACATTCTTTTCTCAACATTAAAAACTCCAAAACTTATTGTTTTTTTGCTTAGAAAAATGTTAGCAAATACAATCACTAAATTAATCAAACCATTCACATTATGCAAGCAATAAAAATCAAACATTAAATCAAACCATTTACCATACTATAGGTAAGTATATAGTAAGTAATAACAATCACACATAAAATAAAAATTCTAAATGATATTTTTTAGTAGCTTACATCTTTATTAATAAAATTAAAAAAATAAAATTTTTAGGTGTTTAAAAAAAAAGTATTTTAAATAAACCTCGGGTTGCATCTTTAAAATATCTATACTTTTTTGATACTGATTTACTGCTCTGAGAAAATTTTTTGATTGTAATGCATTGGTTCCCTAAAAAAGAAAAATACTATTAATATTTAAAAAGTAATTACATATTTATTTTTAATACATAATTGTTTATAATAAATGTTATAATTAGATAGATATAACTACATGATTATATAATAAACAACAAAAAACTTGGTACAAACCTCTTTAGAGTAATTCTCAATATCACTTAGCATTGTTTGCTGAGGATTTGTCTAAAAAAAAATTTATATATTTACACATGCTAGGTTTCATTATATATAACTGTATAAGTGTGGTAGTAGTGTAGTGGTAGAGTGCTCACTTCATAAGCAGGAAGTTCCGAGTTCGAACCACACCACATCCCTAGTAGTACCTAGTTGTACCATTAGTGTTACTACTAATGCAAACCTCTTTCCAACCATATATAGAAAGTACTATGCTTCATTTGGCTTCACTTAAATATTATCAATATCTTGAGACCACTTTTGCTAAAAAAAGTTGCCTTAGACACGTTTTTTAAAAAGTAGCTTTTGAAGGTAAGATTTCCTAAATACTAAAACACATCCAATTTGCATGAAAATTTCCATATAAATTAAAAAAAGGGTGAGGAATCAAATGGAAAAAAAGGAACATTTTTCAAGTTTATACAATAATGCTTAGTTTTCAACGCTTAAAAACGTTAAGGTCAATTTTGTTAAAAAAAAAACTTTTTTTAAAAAGGTTCCCTGTCCAAAAGGCAAGTCTTCCTCTCTCTAAATCAAGTATTTATTGATGTATTCTTAAAGATTTAATGCTTAGAAATTTTGTTTTAAAATATTATATGCTTTTTTTTTGCGTACTTTATGACGTTTTTTGTTTTGATTTTTGCGTTTGCTTACTAAGTTATAAATAAAGTTTTTTTTTTCACTTAATTAGAAACTTAAATATTAGCTAAACTATTTAGCTAATATTTAGCTAAACTATTTAGCTAATATCAACTCGTTTCTCCGCGCAGCGGCCTTGCTCGTCAAGGTTCGTGTTTCGGAGTTATAGAGTTGAGAGAGGGTTACAACCATAATTAAGTAGCCTCCTCGTCTGTAGTGGCCTTCTCGGCCTTGAGGAGGTGAATTAAAATAAAAAATAAAAAAAAAAATCTAAGCTTCTAATTGAGTGAAAAAAAAAAAAAAAATCTCATCAAATTTCATATATGTTTGTTGTCAACATTGTTGACAACAACAAAAATGATGGAAAGAATAAAGATTTTTATACCATTTAAAGCAGTTATATATTATTTTCATAAAATGAACTGCCCTATCTAGCTAATATGTAAGTGAATAAGAAATAATTTAAGGGTGTGAATAAGAAATAATCCTTATTAAGACTTAATAAGGATTATTTTTTATTCATATCCTTATTAAGATTTGATTTAAGAATGTGAATAAGAAATAGTTTAAGGATGTAAATAAAAAATAATCCTTATTAAGGATGCGAATAAGAAGTTTTTTTATTTCGAACAACAAACAAAAATAATGGAAAGAACAAAAGTTTTAAATAAGGTTTAATAAGGAAATTTAAGGATTAATTTAAGGATGTAAATAATTAATTTAAGGACCTTAAATTATCTATTCACATTCTTAGATTAATCCATATATATAGCCTTATTAATTTTTATTAAGGCTTAAGGATTAATAAGGATAATAAGGATAAATTTCACTTCCAATTTTCTATTTAGGATTTGAATAAGGACCTTATGCGAATTCTAAATATGAAATTAAAAGTGAAATTCTTAAAATGGTAATAAATTAAAATATATATAATCTAATTTTTTTAGAGGCATTCTCTGGATTGGACTCTAGATTGTTTATCAAAACTCTAAGTTTGGTTATAGGCTACAATCTATCTATTCAATAGACTATTGTGATTACAGATTGGCCTTCTTTAAACTGTTTTTTTCAAAACAAAAAACAAAAAATCATATCAACTTCAAAAGGTTCAAAAGTGACCAAAAATGTAATTGTGTAAGAACTTATATATTTCATAAGTTATTTATAATTAGGCCTACTTCCCTTAATTTTTAACATAATTAAAAACATTAAAAAAAACATTTTGTATTTTAATACTCTTATATATTGAAAGCAAATTTTATTGATCCATCCCTTTTTTTCTTTGTTTTGAGTTACTTTAACTTAGGTTTACTTTTAATTTTAGCTAGAAAAAACATCATTAGCAGTTTTCAAGTTTAAATCAGAAAATAAACTTTTAGAAGCAGAAACATCTTCTTGAACAAATTCTCTAGAATTTGTTCCAGAAGATGTTTGGCTAGAAGTAGGGATAGAACAATTAACAGAAGATTGACTTTTTACTTTAACTAAACAGGAGATTGACTTTTTACTTTAACTATCTGTATTTCGAACGAGGCTGGAAGCAACCACTTTTAGAGTTAGTAGTTACTGGAAGACCCAAGGTGAAGATTATAACGATTAACAGACGACTAAAAAAGTTGTAAATTATTTGAATCATGAAAACAAGATGAATGGAGAGTATTTAAAAAAACTGTTATTTATTTTATTATTATATTATACAAATACTAACTTAGTAATGATCCAGATCATCCAGAGCAATAGAATGTGCCTCACTGCCTCTAACTATAATTTCAAACCTTTCTGTAACGACAGTTAACACGTCAGCTCCAATTCAAGATGATTCAAGTCCATATGTTTCTTATGTCATTGACAAATAGAGCCACCTGTGAGCTTTTCAGGATGATCATTAATATTGCTTTTCACCTGTGAGCTTTTCAGGATGATCATTATGTTGGTTAGAAATGGTAAAGAGCTGAGGATAGAAGTTACATTTGTTAGCTAAGTATTAATACTAGTGTGAATTTGCAGCGTTTAGTGTCACAGGGTCTGTATGTTTTGTGATTGTGATATTATTATGGTGATGTTTTGTGCTGATAGACAATTTGGCTTACCTTCTTGCTGGTGTCTATCGTTAAAAATGATTATTAGGTTGTTTCGTTAATGAAATATGCTACTTCTAATCATTCACTAAAAGCCAAGAGATAAGTTGTAGAATAGCAACATTTTTTTGTTTTAATGTTTTTTTTGTTGTTTTTTTATCTTAGGTGTTGTCAATAGTTCACATAAACATTCTAAAAGAGTAAGTTTCTCATTTTATATTTATTTAGTTTTAATTATTAATTTATAATCTTTTTTTAATTTTCGATTTTAATGATGAATTAACAAATACATTTTAAAAATTATTGTGTATCTGTGCTTTTAATAACAATTTTATTATATTTTTAGGTAGAGTTTCTGCTGTTACACCTGCTGTTACATCTTGAAATTATGTTACACCTGCTGTTATACCTTGAAATATAGTCTTGGAGAACATAATTTCAAAGTGTAACAGTTTTTGCTGTTACACTTTGAAATTATGTTCTCCAAAACTAGCTAAATAAGTAAAAACACTTCAGTCTGTAAAATTAACAATTCTAGATAATTCCGACAAATGTAAAAAAAATTATGGCATTTATAATCAGGTCTGTAAATTATGCAATAGTTTTCAAATGTTGTTTTTTATTGGACTCCATGATTCTTTTATGCATATTTGCATAGTGTAACCCTAATTTTTTTCTTCATAGCACAATTAAATAAGTAGAAACCCTTCAGTCTGTAAAATAAACGATTCTGGATAATCACTATTTAAAAATTCAAGTCAAATGCAATAACGATTCAAGAATATCAAAAATTTAAAAAAAATATCAAACTATTTAAAGATGATATGTACAGCCCATTTTCAGCAATTTACTGACCGATCTGTAATTTATGCAATTATTTCACTGGCGGGTCTGTAAATTATGCAGTAGTTTTCAAAACAATATTTTAGATTCCATGGTTCCTTTAAGCATATTTGCATGGTATAATTATAAAATGACTCCAAATTTTATTCTCCAAAAAAAGGAAAATAATGTAAAAATCTTCAGGCTGTAAAATAGATGATTCTGGACAATCGCGACAGATTTATTTAAAAAAAACTTTTCTTATAGTTGTTTGATCACTATGAAAAATATCAAGTCAAATACAATAACGATTCAAAAGTTATTAAAAAGTCAGTATGACCTCAAAAATATATAAATTAGTAAAAAATTTCAGTCTGTAAAATAGGTGATTCTGGATAATCCCGACAGATTTTAATAAAAAAATTTTGAAATTTTATTTTCTTATAGTTGGTGGGTCACTATGGAAAATTTCACGTCAAATGTATTAACGGTTCAAAAGTTATTCAAAAGTCAACAATACTCTTATTAACTTTGCCACAGCAAAGTTTCCATACTTAACTCCTATACCTTTTGTCATAAAATCATCGATTTTTCCACTACAAAAAGTTCAATAACTTTTGATCTTTTTGTTAAACATCTTATTAATATTATTATTATTATTATTATTATTATTATTATTATTATTATTATTATTATTGTTATTATTATTATTATTATTGATATAATAATAATAGCAATAATAATAATAATAATAATAATAAAATGTTTAACAAAAAAAATCATAATTTAACTCA